CAGAAGCCCAGGCCTACCTGGACAAGGTGGAGAACACTTGCAAGGAATTTTCAAGTCCCTTCCGCTATAGGATGGAGTGTGCCGAGATGGACAGTGAGGAAGGCTGGGCCTTGCTGAAGTGTGGAGGACAGAATAATAGACGAGCCATGGCCTGCTTTGCAAAGGCTCTGAAAGTGGAGCCTGAAAACCCTGACTACAACAATGGCTATGCTGTTGCAGCCTATCGCCAGGATTTCAATGACAATAGTATTTCTCTGGAACCCCTAAGGAAAGCTGTCAGGTTAAATCCAGATGATCCTTATCTTAAAGTTCTTCTTGCCCTAAAGCTTCAGAACTTGGGAAAACCAGATGAAGCAAGAATGTACATTGAAGAAGCTCAGGCCAACACATCCTGCCAACCCTATGTGTTCGGATATCTGGCCAAATTTTACCTTAAGGAAGGTTTTGTAGAGAGAGCTCTTAGTCTCCTATACAGGGCCTTGCAGGCAAGACCTTTATCTGCCTTCTTGCATTACCAGATTGGGCTTTGCTATAAGAAGCAAATGATCCAAATAAAGGAAGCTACAAACATGCAACCTAGAGGTCAGGATAGAGAAATAGCAGATCAATTGATCCGTTTGGCTATGCTTCACTTTCAAAAGACTTTGGAACTGAGACCCACATATGACACAGCTTATGTTAATCTGGCTGAAATGTACATAGAAACTGGCCAATTTGGAAAGGCAGAGGACAATTTTCAGAAAGTGTTGAGCATGAGGAACCTTGATGTTACTATTCTGCAAGATATTCATTTCCGCTATGGCCGCTTCCAACAGTTTTGTAAGAGATCAGAAGACAGAGCTATCACCCATTATATAAAGGGTCTGAAAATAGAAGTGACTTCTTCCTATGTCAGAAACAAGCTTCTCGAGGCTTTGCAGAAGCTGGCTGAAAGACGCATTCGCCAGAATGTTCACGTTGTGGAGAGCATCAGCCTCCTTGGATTTGTCTACAAACTGAGAGGGGACATGAGTGAGGCTCTGCGATGCTATGAGAAGGCCCTGAGACTCACTCAAGCATTGAACCCTGAGTTTTGAAGCACAGCTCATCAAATGACTTAGTAAGCATTCTCAGGGCTCATTATTCTACTACTCTTTTGTGGCTGTTGCCTTAAATATGAGGAACCAGATGAAGCAAGTTGGAGAGGACTCCTAATCTGTATTCTGCCTTTCTACAGCCCTGTTTTTGTTTTGCTTGTTTGGCTGGTGTGTGTGTGTTTTTTTTTTTTTTTG